CCTCCCTCCTCCCTCCCAAGCTCACTGTCTAATCTCACTCTCACCCTCCTCATCTCTCGCTCTTGCTTCTTCAAACATCAGACGTACAAACTTGTCTGCTGCTCCCACTTTGACTCTCCTCGCAGCTTCGCCATCCTCTCGCTCTTGCACCTGAAAGATTCGCAAAAACTGACAGAGAAGCAGGAATAAAGTCTCAAGGCTGCAAAGGACGCATCTCGTGTTGAGTGATTCTCGTGGTACTACTGAAGTCACCCTTTTGCTCCAGGTTCAATATCAAACTTGAAATCGACTCACTTCGTGAAAGCCCCTGTAGTAAACTCATGATCCGCCTGGACGGAAAGATCAGCAGGGAGGTGGGGGCAGTAGGCGTTCGTTTCTCTAGAGTTACCTGGGGTGTAAACTTACCGCGTGTCGATGAGAGGGAGGGCAATTAAGGTTTTAAGGGTGTAATTGCAATGGATAAAAGATTAAGGGCGATTTCTGACAGGTGAAGTCAATCATATTTCCTTGCGGACAGATCTTTGCATCAAGATGACAGTTGTGCAAGCCACAACTCCGAAACCATACCAATGGAGAACGAGCAATCCTGCTTCTGGGGGTGTGAAGACGAATGGATCAATCTCCTCATCTGATTCAGAATCTTACAACAAGGAACCTCCATCATCTGACCATATCATGACGTTGCGCGGAACTTGGAATGCAATTCTCCAAACGACGTGAATATTTGACGAAACTCCTCAGTTGAACATATCAATCTGAAGCATTACAACCAACAAATCAAGAATAAACCTAGCGAACAACTTCATGGCATGACATGACAGTGTCATGAGCTGCTCACACACAAGCTCATACAGTACAAAAATTCCACAGGAAAGTCATTCATTCATCGAAGCGTTTTCATGTGGACAAGGTGTCTATACCAGGGTTAGTCAAATTGGCATTGGGTGAAGCATCCGATAAACATCTTCTCCATCTGAACACGCTAAATTCTGGATTAGCCTTCCGAAGTTCAAGACAAGTGGTGTAGACCATGTGCGTTCTGGCAACTTGAAGGTCTGGTAAACCATGTTGTCACGCCAGGCTATCGCCGTGAGGTGGAGGAGGCAGGAGGCGGAGGAGCCTGTCGGGGTCGGTCGGCAGCAGAGAGAATAGTCGCCTGGCAGGAGGCCCTCAGGCGAAGGAGCCTGTGGGGTGGTCCGATCGGCAGCAGACCGTACAGGATGGCATCGGATAGTCGCCAGAACTGAGGAGGAGCCTCGGGGGAGGTCGGGAGCCTTTGGTCGGGGTCCGACGGTCCGACGGTCGGCGGCAGCACTGCTTGGCGTTTCAGTATCATGCCCATCCTTTTGGGCCCGGGAACGATCCGATCATGATTGGGATGAGTCAGTGACAACACACAGTGACATGCACAGCGGCATTTTTGAGAACTTGACGTGCCAAAGTTGAAACGCATCCGGTCCAGGATCTCAGTCAAGGACGGCAACCGTTCAACTGTCCGACTCCTTCCGAAGTTCGCTGCCCGGGATCATCGCGGCCCGGCCGGGCGCCGGGCGCGGGGCGGCGGGCCGGAAGTGAAGTGTAAAAGGGAACGGTTGAAGTTGCACGGGTCATGTCTAGTCAATTATGACCGGTGGTTTTGAGCCTCGCTTTAAAACATTCTTGACCTGCCCAAAGATTTTTGCTGAAAATGTTTCCCCCTTCGAAACATTAATTGCCCTCTGGCCTTAAGGGGAAGCGCTTGCAAATGATGGGCAACACCATACACGACACGCTTGCACTGCAAGCAAGACAAGCAACAAAGACAAGCAAGGACATCTCGTACTCCCTCGGACAACAACAACATGACAATCTCCCTCTTGGATCTCTTCTCTGTCCCTACTCTACATCCCCTCCTGTGCCCCCCCGACCGAACCCTCGTCCTCGAGCAGGTGTACATTCCCCCTCCCCTCTTCCCCCCCCTCCCTATAATAAATCCCTCCCTCCCTCCCCTCCCTCCCTCCCCTCG